TTAGGTTATTGCCAACCATTCTATTTCAGCCTGCCAGTAATAAATCTCTAAACTGATTTGCCTTATCATGAAAGTCCTTATGACACAAAACCGCAGGTTAGCAAAATACCCATAAAAGCACACAAAGCTGGGAGATTCTGGGTCTCCTTGTAAATACAATTTTTAATTTTATTTATAGGGCCTCTTGATTCTTATAAAAGAGAGATAAAAGTATAGATGCTTTATAATAGATCTCTTAACACTTAGCATCTCCCAAAAGTGGCACATAAATTGTGGTACCAAAAAGCAAGAAGCAGGTTGACTGTTGCTCAAAGTGGCCAAATCTAGGACTTATGACTCAGCCCACTGAAGGTCTCAAACAGGCGTATGGTACCTGAAGTAGAATTTTAAAAAATACACTCAAGTTACTGTGGTAAAGCTTTCAATTATTCATGCTAATGGTGGAGGTGATGAAGAGAGCCAAATGAAACTATAAATAACCCTTAAACTCTATCTTAGCCATCCATTCCAACATCCCTTATGCAAACAAGTTTAACAGTATAGCAAAATCCAAGTAAAAATGATTTATTTATTTATTTACTTTTCTTTCCTGGTGTCCTAATGGAGATAGTGCATAGTGAAAATAACTCCAATATAGTGTCACATTGTAAAAAATGAAGGAAAAATGAATAAAAAGAGCAGAAATGGAACATCTCAATTAACCACATTTCAGGTTATTATTGGTTTTTCAAGAAACAGTTCTCATAGCCTCTAGTTACTGTTGAGCTTAGCCAGGGAAAATAATGGGAAAAGTCTAGAACTCTACTAGAATGTTTTGAAAATGTCTTTCTGCTACTATTCTTCTTAAAAAAAATGTTTGGATTTGAAATCTCAGATATTTGAAAATGAAACTACATTGAAATAGTAAAATGGTCTTGAATAAAGGCTAATGATTCTCTTCTATTGCTTTAAAGAGATAGAAATTGCATTAATCAACACTGACCTGAGGTAGATTCATCAAAATGTATTCCTAAAGTTAATAGCAAATTGTAATTATATAAAAACCTCCAAGCTGACCTGCTTCAACATTCGTGTCAGCCTCTGCTGTATGTGCAGCCTGCCTGACTTTTTCCATTTGTTTTCCTCCACATCCCTCCCCTCCTCACCGACATAACTACACACAGGCCTACCCACCTTCTGTACATACGGGGTCAGTTTAAAACAAATCTCATTTTTCGCCATAGAGTGAGAAAGCAAGGAGTATCTATGAGGGGAGTGGCTTCAAAATGAACCTAATACTTTAAAGGAAGTTGATTAGGTGGGAATAGGGGGCGCTGGGTATACACAGTAAACTTTTGACTGTCTTATTCTCAGTTTTCTTAAATGAACCAACCACAAAGTCCATACTTGGAAATCTTTGTGAATGAATACTCACTTCTAATTTAGCTTCAAGGCCAGTATGTGGCAAGTGAATGAGCTTAACCAAGTTCACATTTCACATCAATGGACTCTTGGAAATTAGAATTTTTTAAAAAGTCTCTCAAAGAACTCTCACTAATGCCACATGTGTCCCTGCCTTTCTTCCTAGTGACCTTACTGATCTTGTCTCCCCCTAAATTACCCTCTCCCCACCCACACAACATGAATGAGGAGGGATACGTGATCAAACTATGACTAAGGGTGACATTTACAAACACTTTGTTTCTGTTTACCATTTAGATCTTTCTGTTCATTTAAAAAAAAGTACAGTGCTTTTTGGAGCTTTCTCATCTATCATTTGAGATCAGATCTCTTTACTTCCTTGGCTATTGTGAATGTATTGAATCTGCAGTGTTTAACTTAACGTGGAAAAGACTTTTTTTTACATCCAAATTATTTCTCAACTGCAATCTGTTTCAGCAAGTCTTTTTCATAATTTGCTATTCTAATTAATATGGAACACAACCTTCTGTTATCAACACTAATTATTCATATATTTTTACAATCAATTATACCTATCTTTTCCCCAAAAAAAGAATTAAACTTGAGAAAATTAGACAAATATTAGATCAGGAAAATGAACTGTAACCAGAGGTGAGGGTTTGCATAAATTTGAAACCCCATAATCATACACGGTTCTGCTGTGAACCTTCTAGATGTTATATGAGAAAGGGAAACGTGGTCAGTTATAAGATCAACTGTCCATAAGTTAAAACAGATCGTGTTTTATGCACATAGTTTTTCAGAGAAGTAAGGGGCTCTAGGACCAAGTAAAGTGGTCACTGGGGTAGATGGACATTGACAATTTCCCAGAGTGAGAGTTATCTGGATTTTATAAATTTGTTCTGATAAGATGGGTCCACAGATGTCCTTTAAGAAACCACTGAGCTAAAACAAGAGTCTCAATGTTCCTTGTCTATTTTCCAGGCTGGTTATTGGTTGAGAAGACATAACTCTAAAAATGTCCAGTAGCATTCTTAGTAGCAATCTTATTACTATGAGTTCCTTTCCACTGAAGGCTTTTAACCGTGGAACCCAAAGAGGCAGAGAAGCAGAGTTGTACAAAATAAGCTGTGTATGAAAGTTCCTTAGGCATTGTTCATTCTGTTTTTAGTTCTATCAGTATAATTGAAGCTAGAGCTTCAGCTCAAGAAAATCTTATAATGCATTGGAAAATTGTTACTATGTTATCTACGGGAGCTTCCACCATAAAACTATCGTTGTTGAAGCAATGCTGCAACAAATGTTGGCTGGACATAGCCAAATAGGAAGGAGGACAAAAATACTGCATTCTTCCAGGTAGATCAATGTGAATTCTTGAGATTCTATTTTCTTTTGGTGTGATACTGGTTTAAGCTCAAAAGTTCTCTCCTCAACCAGCATAGTGATAGAATCTGAAACAAATACTTTCTCCATTAAAAAAAAAAAAGAAATTATCCTACATGGACCTTAATTGGCTTCTGTAAGAGATGAATGAATATTGTGCTTCATTGTAATCTTATTGATAAGCCCTACTTTTAAATGACAGAAAAGAAAGATGATGAAATCACATCAATAATAACAGCTAGTATTTATTGAGATTTTTCTATATGCTAGCACTGCGCTGAGCATTGCACCTGCTTTATCTCACTTCATTTTATAAACTACCCAGTGAGATAGGCACTTTTATTTATCCATTTTATTAATGAAGAAACTGAGACATAGAAAAATGAACACCTTGCTCAAGGACACAAGGCCAGCAAGGAACAGATAAGAGAACCAGAACTTAACTCCTGGTCTGATTGTAAATGACATAATGACATATAAATGTTAAGTATGCTGGATTCTGAGCCTGTGTTTCATTCTTGAGTGGCAGGTGAAATTTCTAGGGGAATAGGCTTGCCGTTGAAAGAAAGGGGAGGAAATGCCATGGGACGAACAGCTGAAGCTTATGAAAATATGAATTTCCTGGACTAGTTTTGACATATCTGTGAAGAGAAAGCGTTTTCCTTCCTGCAGTCAAGAAGTAAGGCGTGAAAAAGCTAGACTTTTCAGTGGCCATACCTGCATCAAAGTGTTTCAAAACCTTTTGAATTGTTGAATTTATTCATTCCTAAAGAGCTTTTTTACACATGGAGGAGGAGTGTATACACAGCCCAAGAGTAATGAGTAGATTGTGTGTGAAATATTATCCTGATTGCTGCAGAATTCTCTCTCCAATGACACCATTTAGATTAAATAGTTTTCAGGTCAGAATAATGTCCTCTGAAGGACTGATTGTGCCTCAGTGATACATGGATTCAACTTTTTTTTTAAGTTTTTTAATATTAAAAATTTTATCTCAATCGGTGTTTGAAAAACCCTATGGTTTTACAAATATTATTACTTAGATAAAACTAGGTTGATTTTTTTTTTAAAGGAGGAAGTGAATTTAAAGCCAAAACTCCAAGTTAAGCCTTATGGGAAGCACATTGTTAAAGGAACAATTATGGAGTTGATGCACGAAGGTCTGACATTTGGAAAAACTTGGTAGCATTAGTTCTTTCAGTCACTAGCTACTTACTGCCAAGCATTAGGCTTTCCTTCTGTACACTGTGGCTAAGTAACTGGGAGGAATCATAGAAGGGTAGGATTAAGTTGAATAGATTGTGTCTCCTTTTTATTTCTTCCCCCATTGTGTCATGTACCTAGTTATGACTTTTAAAACTGTATCTTTTTTTCATTTCCTTCATGAAGAGCATTTCCTTACTTGCAGACACAATGTATATCCAGTGGATAAGTGGACACTGTTTCCTTAGCTTTTTCCTTCTTTAGCGTTCTATTTTCCAAATCCTTTGTGAAATATCAACAGTCCTAGTATCTCTTTCTTTTCCCTCAACCCTTGTAGTTTGATTTCCTTACATGCAATGTTGCAGGGCTGGGAAGCAGATAAAATAGTCTTGCCCAAGTCAAATAAGATGTCTAAAGATAAAAGATACCGTGAGCTGCAATTAAATAATGCCCAAGGGTCAAAGTAGTTTCCCTTTGCATAATAGCTACCTTACTCAGATGAGAATTCCCAAGTATGAAGTGTGCTTTAGAAAATGTACTCACTCACTCAATTTTTCTTTCAAATTCAAAACTACTTTAGAGGGGAGGGTATAGCTCAGGGGTAGAGCATGCTGAGCATGCAAGGGGTCCTGGGTTCAATTCCCCAGTACCCCTGTTTTAAAAAAAATTGTAATAATAATAAAAAAAACCTACCCCCCCAAAAAAGAACAAAATTACTTTAAAGTTGGAATTGTATTTGGAATAATGTCACAGGTTGACTTTTTCTCTCTATCTTTGTTGATGTTCTCTTTCCGTCTCATCTCAGATCTAATCAGGAATTAGTTTAGGAAAGGATATGGATTTTTTTAACTTAAATATCTTATTGCATTTCTTGCATTGCATCTTGAGAATGACTTTGTTTTCACTGGTAACTGCTTTGCATTTTTCAAAATGAGCCTAGCCCTCCTCATCTCATCTGGGAAGTGAAGCATGAAAGCAAATTCAAATAATATATTTTTCCTTCTTCTTTCTAGATGGTAAGGTGGAAGTTACAAAAGAAGGTGTGAAGCTGTGCACGATGGGTCCAGGGAAAGTGTTCGGAGAGTTGGCTATTCTTTACAACTGTACCCGGACGGCGACCGTCAAAAGTAAGACTCTTATTTTTCCAATACTTTCAGCGTCCTTTTTCCTTAGCCCTGCGAGGTACTAATTAACATCCCTCTCGATTTAATCTTTGCAATTTTATTAATCTACATTTTAATTATTGCTTTGCAATACAGTTGGTATTTTCGTCCTAAAGGATGATTGTTAACAATGAGTTAAATTAAATCTTCTCACTGACTTATGAAAAGTATCCTTTAACCTGGAACTCATAAAGTAGGTTTTAAAGAAAGATATAATTTTATAAATTAGAATGAAACAGGAGCACGATTTTTAATTTTTCTGCCTTTAAAGCCGCAGAATCATATTTAGGAAATTTTTACATATCTGTCTATTTGGGTTTCATTTCCCCACATAAATTCCTCTTATTCCTTTGATGGTTTAGAAAAATTAAGAGCAGAAATGTCCTTCATCTCATTCAAACACTGAGATATATCCTGAATTCTAAAACTGCCGTCTGAGTGTATTCTTGTCCTCAGCTGCTCATCAAGCTGTATATTATGGCATTTTTCTTTTCTACTGATTGAGCTTATTTTAAATCAAGGCAATAAAGCAGCTTGTTTCCCTAATTTTACATGTATGTGTATATATGATTTCTCTAGCAACTTTTATTGCTTGGTGGAAGCAGCTGCAATAGTTAGAGGGGGGAAAATGATTTTAAATACTTCTTCCTGACTACAGGATGTAACTAGTGTACAACAAACAGAGCTGAATGCAAAAGTCAACAGTGAACAGTCCATTGCATCTCAGGCAGACGTGTGTATTTCATGTTTGAAAAGTTCTTCTGACACATTATCCTGTGGATGATCGCAGAAACAAGTTACTTTGATTACGTTGTGTTGTTAAAACAATCTTGTGGGTAAAATGACAATTCAATTGCTAATGTCAGTTTTATCTGGATGTCACTATTTTGTATATATATATTTCTCTCTCAGAGGTATGGCATATGACTGACAATGTGATGTATTGAAATTTGAGCTGTAGAGAACTCCAGAATGCATGACCAGCTAGAGTCCCAGAAATTCTTATACGTCTTGCTAGTGAATCCCAGTTTTATTCATTGAAATCAGCGTGACATCAGTTGCAGTTGAGGCGCTTATGAGATGAATCCTTCTTGGCATTTGATTCTTGATCTCTGAAAGCTTAGGGTTCTTTTGATTGATAGGTGCTGCCATGCTTTTATTTCATGTGATCATTTAATTGTATTACTCAGAGAATAATGAAGCTGGATGAACTGTAACAGATTCTGCCAGAACCTTAACTCACTTAAAGTGTCTTAACTAGAAAAAAAGAGCAGTCATGACTCCATTAAGTGAACACATTTTACTATCATGCTTTATTTTCATGAGAAATGTATTTCTCTTAGGGCAAAAAAATGGCCAGAATAGCACATTTGGATTAAAACAGACTTTCTCAGAATTGTGAGTTTTTTTTTAAGATTTTACAATATTTAAATTTTAAAAAGATTTCAGCCTTGTATACTGCTTGCTTAATCTAATTAAAACTACAAATTTTTCAGAGGTCAACAATTGGTAGTAACATGGTGCCTAGTCTTCTGAAATATTGAATTATTATGAAATAAGTATTTGAAAGAGACTGAATAGAGTATTTAAATGAATTTTATAGCGATAAAGATTTTTCATAAAATGATTGCTTCATAAAAGTCAATTTTCTTATTAGGTTCCTATAAAATATTGTTCATCTGCACTAGCCTCTAATGTACTCGTGTTTGGTAAACTTAAATAGACACAACGTGTCTGATTCAGCAAAGAAGAACTGGGTGTTAAATGCAAATTATAATCCTAGCTATTTTAGGGTCAGAACATTCATCACTAGAGGAAATGAGAGCTGTTCTTTGACACAGACTCGGAGATGTCTCGTGTATGTTTGGGTGTATGTGTGTTCATAGTGCCTACTTAAGATGTGGAGGTTGTACTGAGAAAAGTGTATGGTGATGTGGGCAAATACGTCGCTGTGTTTGTAGGTGCAGAGGTTTTGTGCATGAGTAGGGAATGATATATATTAACAACTAATCCTTCTGAATTTTATGTAAGAACAATTAGTTGTGAATAATGATTATTTGCTGTTCAAGACCATTTGTGCTGTCTTATAGACTATCCAGGGAGATGGTATTTATGATTGTACTCCTTAAGTACTATTTGAAATTTGTTTAAATTATGCCCTCAGGCTGATCACATTATAGTTCCGATTTGATTCCATTGTGGGTGCGTTTTACCAAATGACTACAGTCAATTCTATCTTATCCTTTCCATGTGATATGTTAAAATGTCCTTATTTGGCTTTTTAGATCCTGTCACTTCTCAGAATTCAAGATTGCATTGACTCTTGTCTGTTTCTTCCTGACCATTGTTTTGTTAGTGATGACCATTTGGAGTAACTTTCAGAGTGGGTTCATCCACTTGGATATGATAGTCTAAGTCTCAGAAGACTGCCCTTCCTCCTGGGTAGCCTTTTTCTCTATCACTTATCTGGCTTGTGACCCCTCTTGCCCCAACATCACCCACTTTCTTTCATGATTAAACATGTTGATGATCCCATTCTGTTTTTTTTTCTCCCTAGCATTTTAATGTATTCTTAATTGCACAGTCATAACTAAATCCAAGGTGATATTCATGAGCTCCTCAATGTACATAAGTCACTTTTTGTTCACAAAAGTAATTTTTTGAAATTGTATCAGACCATAAACAAATTCCAGTGACTTCCTCTACTAATGAATGTGATCCTAACACCTGCTGGTTGTCTTTTGTTTTGTTTTGTTTTTTAATTTAGGATATCAGGAAAGTAGTTTTTTTAAATTTTTTAAATTGAGATATAATTAATCATTATATTAGTTTCAGACTTGTGTGATTCAATATTTGTATATATTGCAAAATGGTCACCACAATAGGTCTAGGTAACATCCATCACATTACATAGTTACACTTTTTTTTTTCTTGTGATGAGAGCCTTTAAGATGTACTTTTTTAGCAGCTTTAAAATACACAACACAGTATCATTAACTCTGTTCACCATGTGTACATTACATCTGCTTAACCTATTTATTTTATAGCTGGAAGTTTGTACCTTTTGACCATCTTCATCCAGTCTGTCCTCCCCTCATTCCCTTGCCCCAGCTCTGGCAACCACCAATCTATTCTCTGTACCTAAAAGCTTAACTCTTTTTTTTTTCATTACAGTCCACATATAAAAGAGATGATAAGGTATTTGTCTCTGTCTGTCTGACTTATTTCACTTAACATGGACAGACATTGAGGGCATTATGCTATCACAAATGGCAAGATGTCTTTCTTTATTATGGCTGAATAGTATTCCATTATATATGTATGTATGTATATATATATGTCACATTTTCATTACCCATTCATCCATCAATGGATACATAGGTTGTTTTCATATATTGGCTATTATAAATAATGCTGCAATGAACATGGGGGTGCACATGTCTTTTAGAGTTTGTGTTTTCTTTGATATCCAGAAGTGGAATGGCTGGATCATAGTGTAGTTCTACTTTTAATTTTTTTCAAGAATCTCCATTCTGTTTTGCATAGTGGCTGCACTAAATTATGTTCCCACCAACAGTGCATGGGGGCTCCCTTTTCTCCACATCTGTGCCAGCACTTGTTATTTCTTGTCTGTTTGATGATAGCCAATCTAACAAATGGGGTGATGTCTCATTGTGGTTTTGATTATGTGCATCTGCCTGATGATTAGTGATGCTGAACCTGTTTCATGTGCCTGTTGGCCATCTGTATGTCTTCTTTGGAAAAATGTTTATGTGGATCCTCTGCACATTTTTAAGTCAAGGTGTTTGATTTTTTTGCTATTGAGTTGTGTGAGTTCTGTATATATTTTGGATATTAACCCCTTATCAGATTTATGATGGTTTGCAAATATTTTCTTCTGTTCTGTAGGTTGCCTTTTTATTTTGTTGGTTCTCTTTGCTGTGCTGAGCGTTTTCAGTTCGATGTAGTCCTACTTGTTTGTGTTTGCTTTTGTTGCCTTTGCTTTTGCTGTCAAATCCAAATAATCATCTCCAAGACTGATTTCTAGGCCCTTACCTCTTACGTTTTCTACTAGAAATTTTATGGTTTCAGGCCTTATATTCAAGTCTTTACTCAAAAAAAAAGTTTTATTAAAGCTACAGATTGACATATGCTATAAATTATGATTATAAACTTGTTTGTAGTGATTCAACGGAAAGAAGAAGTGTGGTAGTTTGAAGCAAGTGTTTTGTTTTTCATCTGGGAAAAACCTTTTGAGGATTCTTCTGAAAATAAGTAAATGTGTACCATTGGTTATTATGGTAGCACCAGGAGGAAGATCTGATAGGACCAAGAAGAATATTTTTTGTATTATATGTTATTATTTCAATTTTTTAAAAAACAAAAACCACAGTGATATGAAAAACATCTGTATTACAATACAGAAGATCTGTACTCATAATCTACTTTTATCTTATTAAAAACATTGTTGATTTTCCCCTGAAGAATGAGAATATAAAATATATATAAAATTAACATTATATTAGAGACAAATCTAACAAATGCCTTGAGGTTCCTCATGGCTTAAATAGGCTTGTTTTCTTTATTAACTGTGATATGAAAATGGCCACTTGATTGTTTCTATCCAATTACAAACATTCCAGATGCCATGGGGAGAGGAAAAAAAATCAGTTATTGTATTTGATTTACAAAATGCCAAACAATTAATGTCTCCAATGTTGTTTGAATTTCACATATTGTCTAAGTATCCTGGGACTGTATAAACAAAGAAGAGTCTTACCACACGTTCGCAAACCGCACGAGGGACAGGAATTTCTAATACGCGCATTCAATGCGCCTTACTTACTCAATTCCCGTACAGGGAAGCATATTATTACCGTGTTTTCCTGAAGTGTTGCTCCTGGTTCTGATTTCACTCTCAATACCCTCACAGCTAAAGTGAAATCAATTTACACTCACCCTGG